TGGCCATTTGTTCACTCGCAATTCTAACCGCAAAACCTCAGCATCGCAAAGTCAGTGCATCTACAATACCGCTCACAGAACGTGCAAAAATTCCTTGAACGTCGCGGAAGTGCGGAAGTTTCGCGGAATTATGCAAATCACACAAACTATGCCACGCCATGACATCCTTCAGAATGAGTATATTATGAATACGAAAGCAGGGATGTGCTCAGCTCATCAAGGCGAATCTTTTGTATACAGGATGTTTTTGACACTCTGTTTTCAGTTTTCTCAGATTTTTCTGTTAGAGTATTTTCGCAAGGATGTAACTCCGCCATCACACATAAAAGATTCTAGCAAGCACTTTTCAATAATTTTGTTTTCGTAAATTATCAAGTGCTAAAAAGCAGCAGAAGACCTTTTTAAGAAGAGATAGAAGAGCTAGTGAATTTTGAAAAACCATGTCGTCCCAAATTCTACTCTCCATAACCCTGAAATATGAAACTTTCCTGCAAAGCAAATGTGATTTTCGTAAGCACAGGTTAGATGACCACTTTGAGCAAATTCCTCAAGGAGTTCGGGGTATTTGACTTTTTTCTCCGTGTTATTGAATGATGCGTGCCCCATGCTGCAAAAAATCCAAATCGCCGGGTCACAAGGCTTACGGAATTACGTCTCATAAACTGCACAAAACGCAAATATCGCATTCTTACTTGAGATTACCTCGTGAGTTGTATCACGCGTTCATTCAAAGAATCCTACCGTGGATGCGGAGCCTTAGCCACGAAGCTGCTTTGATATGCAACTAGGTAACTGAAGCCCACATAACTACCACATCCAATACAGTGGGATCTCTTGAGCGGAATGAACATATTGCAGACGGCGTGATATAAAACTACTCACGAAAAATTCCGACGAAGTATTCAATTTTTACGTCTTTGGCAATTCATGAAGACGTGATTTCCTAAGCACGTGACTCGGCGACTGTTCCAGATTAGAGCCTAAGGCCTAAGGCATACCTCATGCGATTCGACCAAATCGCCGCTTTCAAGCGACTTAGCGATTTGCCAGATTTCTAAAGATTTATCGTGCGCGCTTCTCGAACGCATAGGCCGGTAGCATGTGTAAGTTGTTGCAAATGGGTTAAGTCCTGATCAAAAGAGGCGCATTAACGACGAATTACAAAGAATCGCTGTTATGCCAAATCGCGCAGGGACCGGAATCGCGCGAGATATGCCTTAGGCTTAAGGGACGGACGGGCATAGTTTCGTCAACGATATCTTCGCGATATCGCTGGAATTGAGCGATGTTGCGTCGCTGGTGCAGCACCAGCGATGGGCGAATCGCTCTGATGGCTTCTTCTTTGTGATAAGTTTTGTATTTTTTCGCAAATGCAAATCTCATATAGAACTATTGAATCTCACACGAGCGCTTCCTCTCTGCGTGAGAGAAGGTAGGTCATCTAATATCCCATACTATAAATCTTTGAAAATAACACATGCGAAGTATATAGTATGGAATGCTTCCCATAAGTCACCTCACCCACTGTGTTAGCATTTACTTTCTCGCAATGTATTATATTCTCCTGTTCTTGTTTATTAATAACATATGAATGGTGACCAAATTTCGAATGTTCTCGCTATAATTTCTAAAGTAGAATAGATGTACAATCTTGGTTGTTTCATACATGTATAATCGTTCGCAAACTGGCAAGAGCTCGCACAGCATTCGTCATTTAAATATGCCTACCCGAGGTTTTTTACAGGGCCGAAAGCATGGCCTTTCTGTTACGAAGCTAACATATGCCTACCGTTGACTGAAAGAGTAAACCTAAAAATTACGAATCGTAGTCGATTTCATCGCAGATCTTAATTTGCGCCGGTACAAAAACCTGGTAAACACGAAGATGAGGTTGAATCCATATCCTTGCTCGTTTGCTATAATGTTTTCTGGAAGCATATGACCTGAATTAATGCAAACAACTTCAGACAACTAACGCAAATTTTCCAAAAGTGCGTATAATGCGGTGAGGTGTGTGAATGTTTACGAAATCGCTTTGGGTATGTCCGATGTTCAAGCGATGAGCGATTTTCACGCAGTGAACGGTTGCCCAGGCAGCCGATTCAACGACCAAAAATCGTGACGACGGTGTCACGACGAGGTATGCCTTAGGCCTAAGACATGCACCCTTCCATAGCACTGTTTCTAGTGACTTCAAAATATATACATAAGCGGGCAAGTTCTCTGGTAAATACGAGAAAAGCGCAGACGAATTTAAAAACTTTCGCAGAGTTACAGCTCCCTCGCACATCTTTGCTAGAGGACCCTTTGCTCAACAAAAACCAGGATTTCCGTAGATAGAACATCTAAAAACCACTATGAGCGAAGTTTCCCTTTTGATTTAGATAAATCCATCGGCGAGCTTCAGAGCGTAAAACGGGAAAAAACCAAAAACCCCGAATTTCTTCGAAGACTTGGTCGTAAAGGTTATTCGACCTGCTGATTGTGAGAATCACGCTCCTTGGCAGGAGATTGTCATATTTCAAAGTCATGGTGAGTGGGACTTGGGACAACACGATTTTTACAGAATTGAACACCTCTTCTATCTCTCTAAAAACAATTTGGCTACTTTCTGGCGCTTGATAATCTACGAAGACAGCCGGAATAATGCTTAGTGGAATCTTTTATGTATGACGGCGCTGGGTTACATCCTTGCAGAAAGAAATTCGCAGAAAAATCTGAGAAAAGTGGAAAAGAAGCACTGAGAGTACGCTGTATCCAAAAAGTTGGCTTTGATGAGCTGAACCAATGCTTTTTGCGGATGTAGATTATATCATTTCGAAAGAAGTGATTACGTTGCGTGTTTGCGTGCTTGGTGATTCCAGAAATGTCGCGGACTTCCGTGAAATATCCAGAATTCCGACAATCACGGAAAATTTGCACGTTTTGTGAGCGGTATTGTACCGATATACAGTGTCACCGAAAATGTGCCTACTGTTTGATTGTTGATAACTCTCTGTAATAAACTCTTTCGAGAAGCTTTAGGCACCGTCCTGTAGAGCTGGCTTCAGCTTTTTATTGTGTAGAGCGAATCATTGATTGCTTTCCATTACTGTACGATACGGCAGAAACTTCAAGTATATGGGTCATTGTGAAAAAAGCTGCCGTATCAAAAATTTCCAGAAAAGTGTGAAAACTTGTGTTATAGGGTTTTTTTGGACGTTGAGTTTAATATTCAAGTATGTAAATTATTGCGAAACTTTCTAAACGGTGTAACTGCACTTTTTAAGAACATTGGAAAAACGACCGCTAATGTTTACTCTCATAACTTTCTGATGAAGCATCATGATAAGTTGCGAACTCCACATTTAGATTTAGCGACTCTAATTGCCCAGTGTGGAAGTTTTCAGTCTGTTTCGTTTCCTTTCTGAAGCAAATTATCCCTTTTATGGCTCGAAATATCATTGAAGTTTCGACCGTAATCCTCTGTAATAAAGAACGACCGGTGATTCGCTTTGCACTGTGAATCTAAGTTGAAACTAGCTCTACAAAACGGTACCTAAAGTTTCTAGAAAAACTTCATTGCAAGAGGCTTATTAATAATCAAATAGTAGCACATTTTTTGGGACACCCTGTATATAGCGGACTGTACCTCGACCACCGTCATAGATTCTCTTCCGTAGCCGTGATTAGAGATAAGCTTCAGATAATTTCTGCACTCTCATGTGTTGCACTTGCATTTTCCAAGTGCCGACACCGTAACCCTTCAGGTTATCACTATGTTGCCTAGAGTTTTATCCTTTTCTCCAACAAATCTATGTGGACACCAAAAAATGACATTTAATCATTCTCCAAAGTCAAAATCTACAAATTTTGAGATTAGCAGTAGGGTGCGTAAGCTCTCAGCAAACAATGTGTTTTTTGTTTGGTTTTGCACCCATTTGATCAAATTATGACTTTCGAAATGCGAAATTTTGAGCAGTTCAATCAAACATTTTTCAAAAAATACATCTTCAAAATTGATTTATTTTAAAGTACTAGGTTGTCCGGAAATAATGTCCGTTTGCATTTCAACCTCAATAAGTCATTTACTTCTCATTTCTGAATAGGTTGCAAGGTACCATTCGATAGAGCAGAGCAAGCTCTACAGAATGGCTGTCTTGCTTTAGCAACAGCTCTGATCCACCTCGAGTTTCGAGCCAAAAACTAAAAAGACTAAACTGCCCGAAAAATCGAAAAAAATCGTAACTCAGTTCTTAAAAATCTTACAAAAATTCTTACCTGCTCAGGTAAACACTATACATAAAACATCTATATATATTTTTTCCTCTGTTAGGAATCAAGAAATCGGAAATTTTCGTGCATTTGCCAAAGTGGTGTTGTGCAGTTCCCACATAAGTGGTTGTATAACACAAACCCGTAGAAGTATAAACGTAAATTCTCAGCTCTCTGCAGGCTTTAGTTTTCGAGAAATTTGAATTTTAGCTTGGACCAGCTAACTAGGGAAAGCTATATTCGGTATTTCTCGAGAACTAAAGCTTGTAGAGAGCTGAAGATTTAGGTGTGTACTAATACAGGCTTGTGGTATACAACTACCTATGTAGGAAGTGCACAACATCACTTTGGCAAATGCACGAAAATTTCCGTTTTCTTGATTCCTAACAGGAGAAAAAATACGGTAAAGGCGTATATAGATGTTTTATGTGGATAGTGTTTACGTGAGCAAGTAAGAATTTTTGTAGGATTTTTATGAACTGAGTTACGATTTTTTCGATTTTTCGGGCTGCTGAGTCTTTTTAGTTTTTGGCTCAAAACTCGAGGTGGATGAGAGCTGTTGCAAAAGCAAGATGGCCGTCTTGTAGAGCTTGCTTTGCTCTATCGAATGGTAATTTGCAACCTATTTAGAAGTGAAAAGTCCATGACTTATTGCGGTTGAAATTCAAAACGGGCATTAATTTCCGGACAACCTAATAAAAAGAACGGGGAGACGAAAAAGGATGTGTTTGAAAAGATTTCCAAAAATGAAATACAGATGTACTTTAGATCGCCATCTGGAACTGAACATAAGGCCGGTAGTTGTGAATCTAACGCTCAACTATGCAAGACTACTTACTATTGTATGCTCGTTTTATAGCTAAATGTATTTGATTTTCATATATTAAACCGTTGTTAACTTCAGAACGAACTTGAACAGTCAATCCGCATATTAGTCTTGTACGAATTGGCAAGTCTTATTTGTAAAAATACATGTGCTAGCCAAACTGATGTCTAGAAAATTCTTCAGGACTGGTTTGATGCACGACTTGTATGGAATCCCCTTGAATACGACGAAATTGGAGGGTTTTTAGCGGATATAAAGCTAATTTGGCGGCCAGAGTTTAGTCCATATGACAGGTTTCTCTTGACAATCAATTTCGACATATTGCTTTTGCCTTTTTATTCACGATACTTTTGATTACAGCCTTTCCATTCTTGACATAATGGAGTCTGCCACGCACTGCGCTTACGTAGGCAAAGTATTGTTATTTCAAGTTGAGATCAGATTTGTTCTAGGTGCACAGGAACGGCAGCATAAAATTCGCCGTGGCTAATGACATATCATTCTTTTGTCCATTGAATGTATGCTTGTAACGATATAGCAGCTGCAACAAGCTGAGCGCTTATTCAAATTTTTGCAGCTCAAGAAGTTTCCGTTCGATGAGCAAGTGTGCAGCTTAGTCTTGGCGTCCTATGGTCTTAAATATCGCGAAATAGAGATCAACGGTGTTATATCTTGTGGATTCGATATATCTTATGCCGTAAGTGTGACTCATCATCCACTATTATCTAACCGCTCCCCTACCAAAAGAAGTAGCTCACAAGTGATGGTACTGAACGTAATACATGAAAAGAAAATTATACGTACTCTTCTAGGTTTGAATGTGCTTGAGCTCTTGCGTGCAACGAGTTGCCAACAATCGCTCTCCAAATTTATTTATGAGACATGCACTCAAAGTCAATCATTTTCGTTTCATTGTAGATTAGATTTATAGTCTTTGTATGCCCCAATCTTTCCGATGCTTATGTTTCACAGACTAATGCAGTGTTTGCAACTGCTCTTCTACAAATTACTTTGATATTTTTTTGGAAAAATACGCCATTTCTTTCCTTTTGGACTTCCATACATCATTTTCTTGAATAACATCACCGCTTTTCCATGTATGTCCATGCACCCAGAATCCATTTCAATCTGTCATTTTTCAGAATTACAGACATATCATCCCGTTATAACCAAGACACACTATGTAGGTGGCAAATGGACCCCCGTAAAACGAATACGCCTTTGTCACTTGAATCTCACTCTTTTCCCCTTATCAGGTACGCGAATCCCCATAATGGTTGGCCGTTTCAACGTGGCGTGGGGGAGACATTGCGTGTTGAACTGCGATGCACAGCCCAGTGTATAATTTGGCAGGTCCTCCCAAGCTGTGGAGAAATTCGACGTTTTCGGTTTCGGCAGGATGACTAGCTAAGAGCCGGCCAGGCCAAATCCCACCGCCGTCTGGTTTTTTGGTCGCTAGGCGGTTCTGCTCCCCGCTCCAAGCCCGGGGTCAGCGATCGCCCCGTGGAAAAAGAGTACGCCTAGTAAGTTTGCTCTTGTAGAGGAACAAGTTTTATTACATCGTTAGCAAGAAGATATGGAAAAAACTCTGTACATCGGATCCCGTCTACAGCGCCGGGTCGTAGCAAGACTGTTATCAGGGTCCTCAGGGCGCCTTTTGGATTGGACAGAAACGAGACGTCTGCCCGGGCGACACGCCATGGAGACTGCCTCATGCTCTGCACCTACAACGCCAGGACAGTCTCCACGAACGCCGACCTCCACGCTCTTTTCGACGCTGCAGAGCACATCAAATATCACATCATCGCCCTGCAGGAAACGAAGTCCAGGAACAAGAACGTGCGACAGATGAATGGTGGGACGCTCATCATTTGTGGTGAGAAGGTTCCATCACGAAACGTGGGAGGCGTTGGCTTTGTCGTCCACCCGTCTATCGTCTACCTTGTCGATTCGCATGAGATCTGTCACCTCGACTAGCCATCCTAGGATTAAGGCCTCCACGTCAGAAGACCATCAGCATTATCAGCTGCTATTTTACAACATCAGCAGCTGACGAATCAGAACTAGATGCTTTCTACGAAGATGTGGAGGAGATCGTCGCAACGAGAAGTCCTTTTACAAGTTTGTTGTGGGCGACTTCAACGCGAAAATCGGGATGCCACTGGAAAAAGAATTTAGGATCGGGAAGTTTCGATATGGGCTCCGGAACGAAAACGGCAACCGTTTTTTTGGGCTTCTCTCCGCCGCACGACTTTTTCCATGGAAATTCCATCTTCATGAAGAAAGAACATCGCCGGTGGACTTGAGAATAGCTCAACGGAACAACTCACGCGGAGATTAAACACATTCCCAGCAACCGAAGGTGGAGCTTGCTTGATGTCTCATTAGTTCTATCCTTCTGCAGTGACTCCCGTCACCGCCTCTTTCAACCGTATATACGATTCAGTTGAAAGCTGAAAAGAAAGTTTGTCACAGTGCCGCAAGAAGGGAGGAAGTCGTTTATGACATAACAGACTGGAGGAGCTCATATCAAGATGTGACTGGCCCATCGAGGAGGACCCAACGTACGACTACGACCGGCTTCTGAAAGGATTGCGAGCCTGCGGAGAATGTGCCTCAGTGACTTCTGAGAAGAACTTGGAACGTATTTCGAAGACCACCAAGGAATTGCTCGAAAGAAGAAGATTTCTGAGGCAGGATCCGAATGCAACCCATCTCGAGCGACTGATAGCCAACGCCAATTGCAGAAGAGCTATACAGGAGGATCTCAGGAAGTACAGACAAGCCAAGATACTGGAAGCAGCCGAAGAAGACGAAGTCTCAAGAAATGCCGAAGGGACCTCTGTGAATGTCACGTACCGCTGGCTGCACTATTGAACGAAGACGGCACTCTGACTTCTTCCCGATACAAGATGGAATCTATCGCGAAGAACTTCTATACCAACCTCTTCCGCTCATCAACACCCGTGCCGACGCCCGTTGTTCCCACTGGAGAAGTACCACCACGAATCCTACCTGCTGAAGTGCGCACGGCGATTCAGACCATGAAGACATCCACGGCTCCAGGACCAGACCATCTCTACGTCGAATTTCTGCGAGCCGGAGGACAACGTCTACACGAGATTCTCGCGTAGCACCTGACATCTCACCTTCAGAAGGAGAGGATTCTCGACCAGTGGAGAACGTCAAGAACCGTCCTTCTTTTTAAGAAGGGTGAACGGGAAGATCTTTGAAATTACCGTTCGATATGCCTGCTGAGTGTGTGCACAAGCTCTTCACGAAGATTATCCTCGCACACATATCTAGGACACTGCCCAACCGCAAGAACAAGCTGGATTTCGCAAAAGATTCAGCTGCATGGACCACATCCAGACAGTTTCGAGGGTCATAGAAGTCTGCCGGGAGTACCGACTGCCTCTCGTCCTAACCTTCGTCGACTACGAGAAAGCCTTTGACGTGTCGAAACCAACGCCACCATCCTGTCTGCGCTAGTCGATCAAGGAGTGGAACTAACTTACGGTGAGGACACTAGCCGACTACTACAAGGACTGTACAACAACGATGCAGCTATACCATCGCCCCTAACCATTCTAATTGGGAAGAGGGTTCGACGAGGCGACACTATTTCGCCGAAGCTGTTCACCGCGGCCTTGCAGCGGATGATGAAGTCACTAGACTGGGAAGAGAGAGGCATACGAGTTGATGGGAGATTCCTGTCGAACCTTCGTTTTGCGGACGACATCGTCCTCTTTTCGAGCAGTATCACTGAAGCAGAGACGATGCTGAAGGAACTAAACGAAGTAGGGAAGAAGATCGGACTGCGAATAAATCGGAAGAAAACTCAGTACATGAAGAACGCCCTTTGCAAAGATGCAGAAATGGAACTGGAAGGCACCCCTATCATGGAGACGTCTTCTTACGTGTATCTCGGATGTTCGATAAACATGGAGAACGACTTGAGGGAAGAACTTAACAGGAGAAGAAGAGCAGCTTGGGCCGCCTTCAGGCCTCTCAAGAAAGTCACCGAACAACTGACGGACCAGCTTCGTGCCCACCTGTTCAACTCAACCGTTCTCCCGGCGCTCTGTTACGCAGCTGAGGCTTAGGCCGACACAGTAGCGACGTCGAAAGCTTTACGGACCACCCACAGAGCGCTCGAGCGCAGTCTTCTGATTAACTGACGCAAGCAACCTCTAGTCGGCCTTCGCAATGCGGATATGAGAAGAATGTCCCGTCTTTGTGACCCAGCGGAATACGTTGCAAAAGCCAATTACCGAGCCGGGCCGGTCACATCATGAGAAGAACAGACGACAGATGGACACTAAGAACATCTGAGTGGATTCCTAGCGAAGCCAAACGTGCCTGAGGAAGACCACCAACGAGATGGACAGATGTGTTCGTGGAACGAATGGACTTGCTGAGAAATCAGCTGGATACGATTCTCGCCCCTGGAACTCGTGGACGCAGTCGCTGACGTCAACCAAGAAGATCGTGGATGTCTGAAGCGAGGGACAGGGACAAATGGCAACCTTTTGTGCTGGGGCCGCACGTAATGTGAAGCCGGGCCAGCTAAAATCTAAGTGAGTAAGTAAGTAAAGCAAATCGGGCTGTTCAATGAGAACGCGTTCTTTCTTGAAGGCACTGGGTCGGCAGAATGGACCCCTGTCAGATTTTAGTACTGTTAGCTTGTAGGCCTCCCAAGTACACCGTAGCCCCAACCTCACCCTCCAAATAATGAGCTAAGTTTCGAAAAGAAGCTTTAAACTTCCACAAATGACGGCCGCTCAATGGAAGTGGGCGGGGCTGGTGGAGTTTTGAAGCTCCTTTACAGCACTTAGCGCATGAATTGGAAGGTGGGATTGGGGCTAATGTGTACTTGGGGGGTATACTACTTGAAACTACCAGAATCTGACAGCATCCATTCTGCTGATCCACTGCCTTTAAGAGGGCGTTCTTACTTCTCTTTTTTATATCGGCTCCACAAACCTCCACGTGCTGAAGTGACGCGGGGGCAGACTAGGCAGGCGAGGGGGGGGGGGCAGTTAAATGCCGTGATGTCATAACAAACACTGCGACAGGAATAGCGGCTGGAGCTGCTTTTTTCACTACTTGACGTCCTCCTTATTGGGAGTAAACAATCTCGGGTTGGGGAATCGCTTCGCGAGAAATTCGCGCAAATGGGGAATCCTGATCTTAACCACTGCCTCTAGCACAGAAAGAGGACATTTCAAAGCAATTCACAACATACAGTAAGCTTTTGATGGAAAACAGATTCATATGAGATTATAAAAACTCACGTGAAGCAAAAATTTTTTGCTGTTGCCATAATGCCACCCTCATGGTGGCATTGGCAACAGCGACCGTAATTTGAAAAAAAAAAACTAAGCATGCTCTTTACTCACACAAGTTCTTTATAATTTTCACTTTGTTCTTGTTCCGAAGCATGTACACACCAAGTTTGGAGCCACATTGTCGCTGCGTTGCAAAAAGTTATTGCTGCACAGTACTGTAAAATTTTAGAGAAAAAAATTTGAATGAATTAAGCTTCTCCCAGCCCTTGTATGCCAACGTACCAAGTCTTTAGCATTATCTTATGCGCACACCAATCGAATCATTTGTCTGCTACCTAATGGCGCACAAGCATGTCATTTGTGTAATTATTCGATCTTAGTCAAGCTAGACATGCCTATATTATACGTGGTGCATGCTAACATGTAATTACGATATCCCATTTGTAATATCATTCAAAACGGTCCGACCTGACATTTCATCCCGTTTTGAGCTTTGTTAGGCTCTGTTCATAACATGCCACGGTCTTTTCAAACCGGTCTTCAGAAGCATCTCATATCATTTCCTTAAATTAACGTACGAGCTTTCCTAGTAGTCTGGAATCAATAAAGGATGGCTCTTCTTCAGCGCACCACTGAACCATTCATTCGATCTAAAGACAACGGTATTAAAGTCAAGGCTAGTACTTCTCTCATAGCATTCAAACAAGCTCGGAAACATGCCTAAAAGAGGGAATATAATGGACTAGCTGGCTTACCCGGCTCCGCCCGGCCCTGTCAAAACACTGTAATAAAGGTCACATCTCTATGTCTTTACAGCCTTTCCCTGTGCCCATTTCTACATGCCAATTTCCTATTCTCGCTGTACTAATAATCAGCATGCTCACTTACCCCCTGTGCCAACTCCCGATGGTTGTCCTCAAGAGAGGCAACCGATGGTTGTACCGATGGTTGTCCTCAACAGAAGCAACCGATGGTTGTACCGATGGTTGTCCTCAACCGAGGCAACCGATGGTTGTACCGATGGTTGTCCTCAACAGAGGCAACCGATGGTTGTACCGATGGTTGTCCTCAACAGAGGCAACCGATGGTTGTACCGATGGTTGTCCTCAACAGAGGCAACCGATAGTTGTACCGATGGTTGTCCTCAACAGAGGCAACCGATGGTTGTACCGATGGTTGTCCTCAACAGAGGCAACCGATGGTTGTACCGATGGTTGTCCTCAACAGAGGCAACCGATGGTTGTACCGATGGTTTTTCTCAACAGAGGCAACCGATGGTTATACGATGGTTGTCCTCAACAGAGGCAACCGATGGTTGTACCGATGGTTGTCCTCAACAGAGGCAACCGATGGATGTACTGATGGTTGTCTTCAACAGAGGCAGCCGATGCCGATAGTCGTCTTTCCGTTTCGTTCCTCAAGAAGAGCATGTACTGTTTCGTTCCTACCCTCAGACGGTTTGGCTAAACAGGTCCTAGGCTTTCCCTCTCGGAGAACATCGCTGTCGAGTGCCTGGTCATCTCCGCGTACTGGCGACGGCAAACCGAGGTCTCTGAGAGTTTGACCAGTCATCGACACGCACGTATCCTCAAGCAGTATCAACGCTCGGTTGAATATCTCGGGAGAGTAACCGATGTCCGCAGAGGGCGCCCCTCTGCGACATTCCCTGAGTACTTCTTCACTCAGAGCCTCTTTGTACTTTTCCCAGAGTGCTCGAGGATTTGACGGTCGACAGACTGTCAAGATGATGCCAAAGACACTTCGCAGTTGAGCAGCGAAACTTGTCGTAGCTGCTTCTGCGAGAGTTCTGTCCCATTGCTGATTATCTTCAAGCAAGCCAAGTCTTTGGCATGCTTCTCTGCAGGTCACACATTCCTCTCCATCGATGGTCTTCAATACTGCGAATGACGTCAGTCCTCGGATTGTGTGAAGCAACATTTTGAGGTAGAAGCATTCGGCTTGATTAGGGTGTACAAATACACGCGCTAACACATCCGCTTCTCTGACGTCATATCCGGGAACTTCGGCTCCTTGCTTCCTTCTGGCCCACTTCTTTGTTGACTTGTTCCAAGTATTAGGTTGTTGCAAAAATAATATCCGTTTTTCTAGGCCTATATTTCAAACAACTTTTTTTTCCATCAAACTTTATTTTTCGATACATAATTTGCATATCATTGGAAAGCCCTCTTTATGTACTTTCTAACGATGGTGGAAATAAGCTGCTATCCTCATCTGTGAGAATTTCACCAGCACCTCGCATAACTGCACTCATAATATTTCGATGCTTGAGTTTCTGTGGCCACAATTCAGGCGCAAATGAACGAATTCTTCTGAAAACATAGCATTTCTATTGGATGAAGATTGTTTACCTAGAGTGTGCTTATGTGGATTTTTGAAGATATCTGGACTGAGAAATGGACGCCTTTAAAGAGATACTCACTGCTGGCATTCTATGGATCAGAAATTTCTCATAATTAAAACAATCGCCAAAGCTTCGCCCATTTCTGTAAACTTGAGATTAATACGCCTCAAATACAATATTTGAAGAGAAACTCAGCTATTCACTGCGCGAAGAATTTCAAGTTTTGCCAATTTGACACTTATAAGCCTACAACAAGTAGGCTTAGGAAAGTAAATTGAATTTTTGTCTTTTCTTTTCGCAGAACTCTTTCGTCGGAGTCTTTTCTATACCCTCATAAACTCATGGTCTGCTGCTACAAAATAAGTTGATTGCCAGCCATACAAACAAAACTTGAAGGGAGTTGCTCTTAAAGAAGAGGTTCTCAAGAAAAAACTTTTAGCTTTTTGACGCGTGGTTTTCTTCCCAACTGACGCTATCAGTATGAGCAGGTGCGCGCTAAATTACGAAAGGTTTGCTGTTTCTGATGGTCTTGACTGCATTCAAAAATATGAAGACTGAACGAAGTTATAGCCCTCCAAAGTGAAAATTTGCAAAACGGACATTATTTTTGCAACAACCTAATATCTTGGAACTTCTGGGTACAACAAAGTCCGTGCGAACGGATCATGTTGGCACAGAAGGAAAAATGCCGTCAAAGTTGTTTGAGGTGGTTGCGCAGCTCTTTCCTACGCATTATCAGCCGTGAAGTAGACGCGTTGTCCATTCTCTAGATGGACATGTAGATGGGTGACAGGTGGGTAATTTCGTGTATCCTGAAACCCAGGATACGCCAAACTGCCTCGTTGCTGCTTATGTACCTGCCCGTTTGATATCGTTCGATCTCATCAAACGGTGCAGTGGCATGCTCGAGGCCGAATGTTGCCATGTCACTTCCCTTGTTCACATATTTGCAGATGTACTTAATCGACTTCACCGAATTACAGTACTCCACATTGATATGTGCTCGAAACATTTTCGAGAGCAAGGGAGTGTATGGCACAGCCCAGCTGTTGTCCACCACGACGTCTACGGTCTGATGGTCCACCTTCATCTGAATGACGGCGGTGTGTCCTCCATCATCAGACTTTCGCCTTCTGTATAGAGGATAGCCATCAGTCCCGTTTGGGTTTCGCGGATCAGCTGCCGAGGGTACCTTTTGGTGCATTGCCGTCCTTCATGCAAGGCGGCCTCGGATTTAGTGGTCCGCATGGCCCATGGATCATGTTTTTGAGGAGAACATCGAATAGAAGAGGATTCTCTTTTCGACTGGGAAGCTCCGCCGACATGATGCTGTCGATCTGATCTGGGCGTATTTTCTCCTTCAGCTACACTAAGATGTGGGCATGCGGAAGACCGCGTTTCTGCCATTCCACGGTGTACATCCGGCAGCGAGTGTCTCCGTAGACGTGGCTCTTCGTTAGCAGGTCTATAAGCTTCGTGAGCTTCTGTTTGAAGACTCTCGCCGTGATGTCGTGGCGGTCAGAAGGCGCTTCACCAGGGAAGAGCTCTTCCGCAATTTCGGTCCACGCCGGGTTGCACGTGAACGTGATGAACAGATCAGGACGCCCGTACGCTCTAACGTAGGCCATTGCGTCCTGAGTGTACTCGTGCATGTGGCGTGGGCCGCCCGTGAAGGAGGATGGTAGTATGACCATTTGCCCGAGGTCAGTGACATTTCCATCTCCGGCCACGGCATCCCGCAGGTGAATGTAGTCGTCTGCACGCAGCCTTCGCTGACTGCGTCGAATAAAGAGGAGCCGTTCACTCTCAATCTTGGCGTACATGTCCACGATGAACTGGTGAAATAGTTGGCGACATTTCACGACGTGGTTGAAGGACGTGGACCTTAACATTATGCGATGCGCATAGAAATCCATAGCCGATACCCTCTTATTGGTAGGGGCACCAGTGCTAGGATTCCTATGCCATAGTTCGAAGTGATACCCGTCTACCCCATCTCAAAACATGAGTGGGTATTGCAGGGCATCGTACGACCTATGGGTTTCAGAGATGCGCTGCAACGTTTCGGAACGTTTTTGGATGATAATGTCACGCCCGTCGCTGTCGTCTTCGCCAACCAAGACCATCTCGCTTACAGACGGAGCGTTGAAGCGTTGTTCATGCTGACCAGCAGGCCTCCTGTCAGCACGGATAACGACCTTATCTCGTCTGTAGGCATTCGGTCCAGGTTGGTCTTGAAGTCCTTCACCAGCTTGTTGTGCTGATGCAGCATTCTTTGCAGCTCTAGCACGACGTCCGGCCTTGTGCCACCGATGATTCCACAACGTTGATCCGCTTGCAGCTGCTCGTCGCAGACGAAGTACAGCTGCAAGAACTTGGGGCTATCATTGCCATTAGGAAGCAGGGATCCAACTCTATGATAGACCTGTCCCTGCACCTTAAACGTTGGCATGAAGCCCTGTTCCTCAACGTCAGGCATGGCGACCGTGGTGCCGAAGGACGTCATCTGGAAGCATGCATTGTACTTCCTGATGTTCTGCAAGAAATGCCTAGACACAGCACTGGTGCCGCACATGTATGAACGAACGGCTCAGGCGGCTCACGAAGAGGCGGAAGGTCGACTTTGCCGCTGGAACAGCACATGCCAGGAGGTTCGGCTCTGAACTTCTTGGCTTGACACTTGCCACATACGACGTCTATCTTGCCGATTACTACCTTCGGATGGGTCGAGTAGTCGACCTGGGCATTGTAGTTCAATAGCGAGGTGAAGCTCTACTCGCCTAGATGTCTGTCGAGCGTGGACATGTCGAGCGCGATCACGTTCGAGCCGTACTGAATGAGCTGCACCAATTTCCGCTCTTCGTGAAGCCTCAGTCCTCATTCGACTGCTGTCAATTCGAGACTCGCGCTCTTCAGCCGTCTCCTGAGATCTGGCTTCGGCGTGTCTGACTCGGTTGTCATCGAGTCGAGAATCACGACTTTCTTGAGATTCTGAGGCTCTCAGAGCAGCAAGCCGCAGGCGAGTCTGCGAGAGACTTGCTTCACGCTGTTCCAGCGTTTGCGTTGCTCTCGCCTCGGCTATTCTGGCACGATTGCCTTCTAGCCGTTCCTGGCGCTGCTCCGAGGTCTCAGCCTCTCGTTGATCCCTGGCCTTTTTGGCCTTGGAATCAACCCTTCCGATGGATGCACGCTTCTACGGCGGCATCCTGTGATGAGAGCCTTTAAGCTATAAGCTACTCGGTACCCGAGATATGGGAGCCTGTCGGCTTCTCGGTACTCGAGGTAGAACCTTTAGGCTTCACGATGCTCGAGATGGAGCCTGTTGGCTTCTCGGTACTCGAGGTGAAGCCGTTGGCTTCTCG